AAAATAGGATGTTGAGTGCACCTCAACTGAATTTAGAGAACAGTTCAAGAACAGATTTAGCACACTGAACACTGTGACAGAAAACCTAGTGAGTTGTAGGGTAACATCAAGAACAGCATACTTTTGATAGCCTGGCACCATCAGCTCTCTTCACCACATTTGCTTATGTACCCATTTGTCTTCAGCGATAGTGTAGGGAATGTGGGCACCTAGTGATAGGATTTTTTTGTTCTTTGATGCCTGATACCTAGTCCCTTCTACACCTCGTGGTCACACAGGCTGATGTGCTTCTTCCACGTGGTCTTTGTTGCTTCTCAGCTAGATGGCTGCTTGTTTACCTTCAAGCCTTTAAGAACCCAGACGCTATATATTTTGATAGCTGGGCACCATCAGCTTTCTTCACCACATTTCCTTATGCATACATTTGTCTTCAGTGATCGTTTCCGGAAGGTGTGCATCATGGAATGCCAGTTTAATAGAACAAAGTGTTCTTGCATTTAGTAAGTACTTGAGTGGAGGTCCATTGTCCTTCTGCTGCTTAATACTAAACCTATAAATGTATGCATGTAGATCTATTTCCCCACCATCCTATATAAATATATTTACATATGTACATGCCTGTATTTAGACCTCTATAAATATCCTTTGTCTCCTAGTTCTTATCTCCTATGTCCTTTTACTTTCCTCTTGTCCCACTGTCATGTTCAGCCTTCATTTAGGTTTCAGTAATTTCTCTTGGTTACATTGCCCTTGCTGAATCTGTACCAGGCCTCTCACACCCTCCTTGCCACTAATTTTAGATCACTTGTTGCTCCCTTGTCCCTGGGTTGGTCAACACCACCTCCTTTCCCCTGCCTCCTCTCCCATGTCCCCCGGAAACCATTGGTCCCGTTGTTTTCTCCTCCAGACTGTTCATCCAGCCTATCTTATCTAGATAGACCTGTAGAGATAATTATATGCACCAAAAACAAGGCATAGCAAGACAAAGTGACAAAAGAGAACACCATGACAACAAAGAAAACCAATGACCCATAAAAGAATAAATTAATTTTTAAAATAGAAAGAAAAAATTTTTAAAAGAAAGAAAAACCTGTAAATAGATCAAGGTCTGATTTTTGACCTCTAGGCGTGTCCTCCAGTCAAGTCCGATGGGGTGTCAGCTCTGGCCCGAAAGTCTATCCTTTGCACTCCCTCGGGAGCTCCCTCCTCTGCTCCCCCTGTTGCTCTGCTGCACGCATTTAGTGTTTTGCCTCGGTGTTGCGGGGTCAGACCAGGCCAATCCCGACACTGAGTCTCCAGTGTTGTCCCCCGTAGGACCATGGGTCCGTGAGGGAAGTCGCGTTTCATAGTGGTATCAGCCATATATATGGTCCACTCTGTGCATTGACTGTTTGGAGCAGGGATATCATCCCCCAGGCCTGGTGGGCCAGGATGTGCTCCACTCTCTCTTCCTCCCCATTCATTTGCTCCCGTGTGCTCTGATAAGACATGTCCCTCTCCCCTAGCTGCAGCTTCAGTGCCTTCCTCTAAAGTAAATTCTTCTGGAGGGAGAGGGTCATCATCCTTTTCAAGCCATTCTCTTCCCACTTGAGCCCCTAATATTAGCTCCTCATTTCTTCCCCCTCCTTCCCCTGCCCGCCTTCCCTCATGAACCCTTGATAAGTTATAGATTATTTCCATATCTTACATCGTCCTCTGTCACCCCTCACCCACTTTTCTGTTATTCATCCCCCTGGGATGGGGTTATAGATTGATCCTTGTGATCAATTCCCCTCTATCTTTTTTTCTGTCTAATTAAAAATGTTGGGAAGTTCTTTTAATTCTCATTTCCATTATTACCTATTTCTATTCAATATCTCGTTTTTGCATCTGTATTTTTAGATTTTTATTTTGTCGTTGTATTGTTTTTCTTACGTTAACTTTTGTTCTGCAATTGTATTTAATGTGGTTGTATTACAGTCTTCCATTTAGCGGGTTCTGCGTTGGGCTCTAACTGCCAGGTCAGGGGGTAGAAACCCCCAGCTCCTCCATGGAAGAACGAGGGCAGCGTTCTGCACCTGGAAGAGTTAGTCTCAGAAACCCATAGGGGGCAGTTCTACTGAACTCTAGGGGGTTGAAATGAGTAGGAATCCACTCATGGCAATGAGTTCAAGTTTGACTGTGAGATGCAGTTTTACAAATCCTTTTGTCATATTCACATTGTTGAGCTATTATTGTTTCTCTGCTCTTTGTGTGTCTTGTGATTTTTTTTCCCTTGGGGCATGGAAATCTTTTAGTGAGTTAACTCTCTGAAGTTTACCCCATAATTTCGTGGTTTTGCCTTCACTACTTTCTTCAAGGAGCCCTGGTGGCATAGTGAACTAAGCACTTAGCTGCTAACTACACAGTCATTAGTTCAAACCCACTAGCCTCTTTATGGGATAAAGATGAGGCTGTCCAGTTCCATAAAGATTCAAAGTCTCAGAAAATCAAAGGGGTAGTTCTACCTTGCTCTATGAGGTCGCTTTGAGTCCAAACAGGCTTGATGGTAATTAATTTGAGTTTACTGTTGTTGTTACTGCCTGCCAGAAACTTAGCCAGACAGAGCCCTTGCTTACCATTTTCCATTTCTCTCTGTGGTATCTCCCTCTCCCTCCCTGGCTTAATTTAGATTTGAAAGCTCCAGATATTGGTTGTCAGCTTTTATTTTCTCCCATACACACCAGAGAGGATGACTGTTCAAGGGCACTTTCTCTCAGGCCAGATTATCGTGTACTTATCAATTCTTCCACCAGGTGGTGCAGTCTCCTCTCTCTGGTTATTTGTTTTCTATTTCTGCAACCATGTTTTTAGTTGGAAAATGCACACTCACTAAGCCTCTGTTGGAGCGAGTCTTGCCCTCCTGTTTTGCCTGCAGCTTCCTTCCCTGCTCAGTAGAGTTGGCAATTAGAAGAGGCAAAGATGGAATTTTCTCCATTTCATGAGGAGGAAAAGCTGGCACTCTCCAGAAGGGACCTCTGAGAGTTGGTTTGTTAGTTTCAGAGCCTTAGTGGCTCTGTGGTGATTGGGAGAGTAGGCTCTACTTACTTTACTACTCATCTTCTGACTGAACCATAGGGAACCTTCTGTGGGTATTTGTATCAGTTCAGCAACCAACAGTTACTGGTTTGGGGACAGGTGGTCACATTCCGAATGGACCCCAGAGAGGTCTGCCTTGTTGCTATCAGAGCCTGCCTGGTAGTATATTGGCTATGGATGTAGCCTGCACTCAAGATGCTTGCTCTTCACACACAGAGGACAAGTCACCTGTCCTTAGCGTTGATGGAATGGGGAAGCACAGAAAAAGAGGTACTCCCTGGAAGGCTGTCCTGCTGGTTTTTAGGGGCCTGAGCTATGGGGTGCACAGGGAGGCAGGTAGTGTGTTGACTCTGAGATCAGCCATCACTGCAAGGAGCCTTCTTAGGCTTGTCACTGACAGTGTCCAGGTGGGGTTCTTGCTGTCACATGCCAAATGGGCCTCTGTGGAGGTCTGCCTAGTTGATTTTACAGCTGAAGCTTTGGGACCTGTCTCTGCAGACAAGGGTTGTGGTGGTCAAAGAAGCAGGCTCTTTTTTTAGGTCCGCTTCCCCAGTTTCCAAAAACTGTGACCCATGACTAAGGGGAGGGGCAGGGCCAACGAGAGAAGTGCTTTCCTTATTGTGTGTGACTCTTTGATTCTTTGATATTTTTGCCTGTCTGTAGTTCCCTTCTGCATTTCTCTGCTCCCCAGTTCTGAGTCCTCAAAGTCAAGTATCATTTTTTTTTAATCATTGTATTGAGGGCTCATACAACTTTTATAGTCAGGTATCATTTACTTATTTTCCTTTTATATTTCATCTTGTATTTATGGGAGAGGTTTGGAATTATAATTTATTCTGCCATCTTTTTTTTTTTTAACATATGTTCTAGTTTTATGGGTCTATTATGTAGCATTGATAGCTTGTAGAGCAAATTCGTTTCAGTGCTCTGGGAAGTTGGACCAAGCGTTCTCCAGAGTGGTGTTTAGAAGGTGGTTACAAGATGGCTGTATGCTGAAGCAATGAGCAGTCTCCTTGCACAGGACATCGGTTCAATAGAAGCCTTTCATCTTTAGTATACAAGCCATCTAGCTTCAACCATCCTCTGCCGGCCTCTGTATTCCAGGCATTCCCAATCTGTGGCGACTTTTCTCAAACTCCCAGCATCAAGAGCCCAGTCTTCACTTAGATCTTCAGTCCCTGTGTCCTAGAAAAAATAAAGGTTGTGACCCTTCCTCATTCTCGAAGGTGTTGCCTTACTTTTCTGTGGACAGTGATTGACCACTTTATTGGTCCTAACACACTCATTCCATACGGAATATCTGTTTGGATAAAATTCAGACCGTGGATAAATGAAGAAACACTTGTGTACCGAGAACATGTTCACATTTTTTTAAGTATATGGGTGTTTGTTTATAAAGGTAATTTGTACTCATTTGTTGAAAATTTGATACCATTAGTATCCCTCACAAAAAAGAGAGAGATTTGCTTATAATTTTACCAAACTAGCCAGTGCTAACATTTTACTTAAAATTTAATGTGGACACACACGCACATGTGAACCTGATTAATAAAAGAAAATGTTTTGAGAATGATGATGGGCGCAAATGTACGAAAATGCTTGACACAATGGATGGATGGATGGATTATGATAAGAGTTGTACGAGCCCCCAATAAAATTATTTTTTAAAGTATCATTCCCTCTAAAGAACTTTGGTGGTTAAAGTGATCAAGTACTAACCCAAAAGTTTGTGGCTGAACCCATCAGCCTCTCCTTAGGAGAAAGATGTGGCACCACAGGGGTTTCTCTTAGAACCCCCCTGGGCACCTCTCCTCTGTCCCCAGGGTCTCTGTGAGTCAGAATCAACGCAGTCAGCACGGGTTTGATGGTTTGGGATCCCCAGGCCACTCTAGGAGTATATGTTAAAAAGGAAAACTAACATACTGCCATCAAACTGACTTCATCTCATGGAACAGAATACCATGACCCTTTTGGGTTTCCGAGACTTTTAATCCTCCCTGGAGCAGAAAACCTCATCTTCCCTGAGGAGTGACTGGTGGTTCAAACTGCTTACCTTGCGGTTGGCAAGCAGCTCAACGAGTAGCCCCCATACTGTTGGGCCTTGTTGAAATGTAAATAAGGAGTTGTAAATAGTTAAATTAATTTGTCTTTACACCTGTACTTATTAAATTCATAGTGAATAAGTACAATTACATAGTAGAATTATTCACTAGAGTGTTTTTAATTAAATTGGCAGAAGTAGAAGTTATTATGTTTTCCTGAGAGTATCCAGAAGGTTTATAAAAAACAGTGATATTTTAAAGCCATTTTGAGAGTAGAAGCTGAAAGCCAGTATTGTAAAAATTAATGTAAATAAATTTCATGTTTTGATTGTTTTTTTAATTTAGCTTTCTGGTGAATTTGGAGTAAGACAGGAAACAAATATGGCTAAGATGCTGGAAAAGCAATACCAAGAACAATTAGAAGAAGAAGTAGCTAAGGTAAGCTTACCCTTTATCCTAAAGATTGTCATAGTTACTAGTAACCATGAGGCTTTGAAAAGTTTTTTATTGATGGCAGTGTACTTTATTTTAAATTATGAATTTCACTCATAGCTCATCTTTAAGTTACCAGATATGGTATCAACCATGTTTGCTTAAATAGACTACTGTATATTTTTCTTTCAGAAAGCATTTCTCTTTTGATACAAAATAGTAGTGGAAACATTTCAGAATGCTAAAATTAGTTTTATTCTTTATATTTGTTACCTTTATGTGAAGGAGTTTAATTTTTTTGAAACAGGGCTGTGGGGTGGGGCAGGAAATGAGATGGAAGGTGGATAGGCCGCTGTAAATAACCTGTGCCTGGCCCCACCCACTTCAAGAGCCCTGGTGGCACAGTCGGTATATGTTATGAATTGGGCCGCAGTTCACATGTTACAGTTATAGTTTCAAAACCCATAGTGCAGCGGTTCTCCACCTGGGGTCTTTGTCTCCCATTATCTGAGTTTCCAAAGGAATTCAAGTTTTCTGTTTCTCTTAGTGCTTGCATAAAAATCTCAAGTGGAAGATTAACAGCAAGATATTATAGTATGTGATTAAGCACATGAGGTTTGATAGAGGATATGCAATGATTTATATTCTTGTTCTTTTAGTTTTCTAGATGTGTGACCTTAGAAAATTTAGGAAATCTATCTAGGCTTCTATGTGTTAAAAAACAAACACTGCCAATGATGGGGGGGAGTGTGAAGTGGAGATCCAAAGCCCATTAGTAGGCCACTGGAGATCCCCTTGCAGAGGGGTCTCAGGGAGGAGATGAGCCAGTCAGGGTGCGATGTAACAACGATGAGAAATACAACTTTCCTCTAGTTCCTAAATGTTTCCTCCCCGCTCCCACTACCATGACTCGAATTCGACCTTGCAAGTCTGGCTAGACCAGAGGATGTACACGGGTACAGATAGGAACTGAAAATACAGGGAATACAGGGCGGATGAGCCCTATAGGACCAGTGGTGTGAGTGGTGAAACAGGGAGGGTAGAGGGAGAGTGGGTAGGAAAGAGGGAACCGATTACAAGGAACTATATGGGGGATGGACAACCGAAAAGTGGGTGAAGGGAGACATCGGACAGGGCAAGATATGACAAAATACCAATTTATAAACTTATCAAGGGCTCATGGGGGGGGGTGGAGCGGGGAGGGAGGGGAAAAATGAGGACCTAATGTCGGGGGTTTAAGTGGAGAGAAAATGTTTTGAGAATGATGTACAAATGCGCTTTACACAATTGATGTGTGTATGGATTGCGATAACAGTTGTATGAGCCCCTAATAAAATGTTTAAGAAAAAAGAAAATGATGATGGCAACACATGTACAAATGTGCTTGATATGATTGATGTGTGGATTGTTATAAGAGCTATAAGAGCCCCCAATAAAATGATATCTTAAAAAAAACAACAAAACACTGCCATGAAGTCAATTCCAACTCATAGCAACCCTGTAGGACAGGGTAGAACTATTCCTATATGTTAAAAGAGGAGAATAATAGTAATTTCTGTGAGGATTCAATTGGCTGATACATAGAAAGCAGCTAACAGATCAGTTGACATTGTAAATGCTCAGAAATAATATTTTTAACAGTCTCTTTACTGTTATAATTGTGATGAAGTAAAGATGTTTTGTAAAGTAGCTTTGCTCCAAGCTGATAAGGAGCACAAAGGGCAGGTCAGTGAAAACTTTTGTAAAGACACAAGGGGCTGTTACTCTATAGACAACATTAGCTGGTTGTGCGGGGTTTTAAAAAATTTTAGTTTATTGACTTCAGTCATCAGTACTGATGAGATTGTGCTGAACCCCTCATGGACTGTAAAAAGTTGGGAACCAGTGCCCTATAGCCAGGCTACATGGAAAAAGCCCAATAGAGGGGCAGTGACTCCCAGTATAGAGTATGTTCAACTTAGTGTGTGATCTGGGTACTACTAAAAATAGACATTTATTTAAATTTCACAATGTAGAGTCGCTATAAGTCAGAATCTACTTGAGCCTCACTGGGATAGCTACTTGTTTGAATATAAGCCTGGAAGACCCTAGACACTATTCCATTTGATAGCCAGGCACCATCTGCTTTATTCACCATATTTTGCTATGCCACCCTTATCTTCAGTGATCTCTTCATGAATTCACATATGGAGCAGGGCCATGTTATAAGCACTAACTGCTCTTGGATTGGGGCTAGGATCAAGTGGGAGCCCAGAATCCATCTGCTTGTTCACGGTTTATGAACAACTCTGGTTAATTTTAGTGGTTATATAATGACAAAAACAAAAACCAACAAGATTAACAAAAAAACTAAAACAAACAGCAAAAAGTAAAAACATTGTCAATCATCCTCCTGGAGTATAAGGTAATTATACTGATAACATCAATAATTTACCCAGTGGCATAGAATTTAAGGTACTGTTGACATGAGGAGTTTATGCAAGTATAGTCCAACTTTGAGCTGCAGTCCATGAGTCGTTGCTTTGTACAGGCTGATTTTGTAATTGATTGAACTCTGTTGACATTGAGCACGGGGGCTGGTGCTAGGGGAAATTTTCCTGTAGCATTCCTTTCAAGGGCATGTCCTTGTCTATCAGATTAATTCCTGTCATATTAATGCAAGGGAGCATTGAGATACTAAATATATGGTAGTTCTGGATCCCCTTTCAGTGGAAACCCACTAAGCCAGGGGTCCCACCCAAGGTCTAAAGACTGCCATTTCCACACTCTTGGGGTGGCCATCCTTTGCTTCCTCTCCCATCAGGGAATTTCAGCCCTCAGTCCCAAGTACTACAAGTAGCTTTGAGGTAGGGCTTTCAGTAGGCTTCCACATCAAGTCCTTCTGGTATGGCCCTTGGGGGAGGCCATGTCCCCTGTTTAAAGTCATCCTAGTAAACATAGAAAGCAGCTAACAGATCAGTTGACATTGTAAATTGACATTGTAAGTTGACATTGTAAAAGATCTATGACATGGTCCACCAAGGGTTGAGTAGAAACTTATTCAAAGGGTCTATCCAGGAACATAGAACCAGGCTTATTATCTCCTTAGGTTCCCTACAGTTATTATTTATCATCCTTTCCCAATGTGAGGTTGTTCCTCCCCATTTACCCACTGTACCCACCAACAGAAATATAAGTGTCTCCTCTGAAGTGTAGATGCCCCTGGCCCCTGGTCTTCCCTTGATTTCCCAGTAAGGTTCTCTCGTCCCTGTGGAGGGCCTGTGGATTTGTTGCAGCCTTGCACCAGTGGTGCCTGTCCTCATGAAGGAGTGACCTCAGCCAATGTGAGGTCTCCTTTTTCCCAGGTGATTCTTTAAAGTGCATGTAAGGGGGGTAATATATGGTTTGCGTGGGAATTGGCCTCTAAGATTTGTTAATTGGTGTTTCTTCTTACAGTAGTGGACTCAGACAGCATTTGTCCCTTTTGTGATTTATTAACTTCACTCAGCATAATGGATTCCAGGTCCTTCCATGTCATGCTTTCATGGCTGTTTTTGAGGGAGGCTTAGTATTCCGTTATATGTATGTACCAGGATTTCTTGACCCATTCTTCTACTGTTGGGCATTTGGGCTGCTTCTGGTTTCTTGCTATTGTGAATTGTGGCTCCCAAGTTTGACGTAAACATGGGAGAGCACAACTTGTGTTGTATTTCATTTCTCTTGGGTATATGCCTAATCATGGTATGGCTGGGTTGTATAGGATTTCATTTCTGTAAAAAGGTAGTTTTTAGAGGAAAGTGGGAGACTAGTTTTCATTGCATTAAGTGCAAAGTATTCCATTATTTTTTTTGTTTTGTCATGAACTTTTTTTCTTCTTCTTTGGTTTGCTTCTGTGTGGGCGTGGCATACTGGCCGCTCTCTCCAACCTGTGGGTTTAGTGTTGTTTTCAGTAGCACATACTTCTAGGGAGGGGCTGTTGAACTGTCTGAATCCTGGTCCTATTGTTGTTAGATGCCATTGAGTTGGTTCTGACTCATAGCAGCCCTAGGTACAACAGAATCAAACATCTCATGGTCCTTCGCCATCATCACAATTGTTCTTATGTTTGAGCCCAATGCTACACCCGCTATGTCAATCCACTTTACGAGGGTCTTCCTCTTTTTCACTGCCCTTCTACCAAGCATGATGTCCTTTTCCAGCAACTGGTCTCTCCTAATAACATGTGCAAAGTACATGAGATGAAGGCTCACCACCCTTGTCTCTAAGGAGCTTTCTGGCTGTACTTCTTCCAAGACAGATCTTTTTGTTCTTTTGGCTATCCATGGTACTTGCTACATGGTACAATATTCTTCTCCAGCACTTTGATTCAAATGCATTGGTTCCTTTTCTCTCTAACCTTATTTAATGCCCAACTTTCACATACATATGAGGTGATTGAAACTACCATAGCTTGGATCAGGCACACCTTTGCTCTCAAAGTGGCATCCTTGCTTTTTCAGCACTTTAAAGAAGTCTTATGCAGCAGATTTACCCAGTGCAATGCATTATTTGATCTCTTGACTTCCACGAGAATTAATTGTGAATCCAAGCAAAACAAAATCATTGACGACTTCAGTCTTTTCTCCATTTATCATGTTACCTATTGGTTTAGTTGCGAGAATTTTAATATTCTTTACATTGAATTGTAATCCATACTGAATGCTATGTATGTTCCTTAATCTTTATCAGCAAGTACTTCGTGTCCTCCTCGCTTTCAGCAAGTAAGGTTGTATCACCTGGATATTGCAGGTTGTTAATAAGCTTTCCTCCAATCTTGATACTGCATTCTTCTTCATTAAAGCCAGCTTCTCCGAATATTTGCTCAGCATACAAACTGAATAAGTATAGTGAGAGGATACAACCTTGATGCACACCTTTCCTGACTTTAAACCAAGGCAGTATTCCCTTGTTCTGTTTGCTCTACTGCCTCTTGATCCATGTTCAGGTTCTTCATGAGCACAAATAAGTGTTCAGAAATTCCTATTCTT